ATGATTTCCGTTCTTTTGCATTTGCTGAGGAGTGATTTATGTCCAATTATGTGGTTCATTTTAGAGTAGGTGCCACGTGGTGCTGAGAAGAATGTATATTCTGTGGATTTGGGGTAGGGATTTCTGTAGATGTCTATTAGGTCTCCTTAGTCCAGATCTGAGTTCAAGTCCTGGATATCCTTGTTAATTTTCTGTCTCATTGATCTGTCTAATACTGACAGTGGAGTGTTAAAGTCTCTCATTATTATTGTGTGGGTGTCTAAGTCTCTTTGTAGGTTGTTAAGAACTTGCTTTATGAACCTGGGTGCTCATGTAATTGGGTGTGTATATACTTAGGATCATTAGTTCCTCTTGATGCATTGATCCTTTTACCATTATGTAATGCCCTTGTTTATCTCTTTTGATCTTTGTTGGTTTAAAGTCTATTTTATCAGAGACTAGGATTGCAACTCCCGCTTTTTTTTTGCTCTCCATTTGCTTGATAAATCTTCCTCTATCCCTTTATTTTTAGCCTATGTGTGTCCTTGCACATGAGATGGGTTTCCTGAATACAGCACACCAATGAGTTTTGACTTTTTGTTCAATTTTCCAGTCTGTGTCTTTTGATTGGGGCATTTAGTCCATTTACATTTAAGGTTAGTATGGCTATGTGTGAATTTGATCCTGCCATTTTGATGCTAGCTGGATGTTTTGCCCATTAGTTGACACATTTTCTTCATTGTGTCAATGGTCTTTACCATTTGGTACACTTTTTGGAGTGGCTGGTACTGGTTGTTCCTTTCCTTATTTAGTGCTTCTTTCAGGAGCTCTTGTAAGGCAGGCCTGGTGGTGAAAAAAATCTCTCAGCAATTGCTTGTCCATAATGGATTTTCTTTCTCCTTTGCTTATGAAGCTTAGTTTGGCTGGATATGAAATTCTAGGTTGAAAGTTCTCTCCTTTAAGGATGTTGAATGTTGGCTCCCATTCTCTTCTGGCTTGTAGGGTTTCTGCTGAGATATCCGCTGTGAGTCTGTGGGCTTCCCTTTGCAGGTTACCCAACCTTTCTCTCTTGCTGCCCTTAGCATTTTTTCCTTCATTTCAACCCTGGTGAATCTGATGATTATGTGCCTTGGGGTTGCTCTTCTTGAGGAACATCTTTGTGTTGTTCTCTGTATTTCCTGGACTTGAATGGTATCCTGCCTTGCTAGGTTGGGGAAGTTCTCCTGGATAACATCCTGAAGAGTTTTTTCCAGCTTGGATTCAGTCTCTCCATCACATTCAGGTACACCTAGCAGATGCAGATTCGGTCTTTTCACATAATCCCATATTTCTTGGAGGCTTTGTTCATTTCTTTTCACTCTTTTTTATCTAGTCCTGCCTTCTCATTTTCATTGAGTTGATCTTCAATCTCTGATATCCTTTCTTCTGCTTGGTCAATTCAGGTATTGATACTTGTGTATGGTTCGCAAAGTTCTCATGCTGTGTTTTTCAGCTCCATCAAGTCATTTATATGCTTCTCTACACTGTTTATTCTAGTTAGCATCTCATCTAACCTTTTTTCTAGGTTCTTAGTTTCTTTGCATTGGGTTAGCATGTGTTCTTTTAGCTCTGAGAAGTTTGTTATTACCCACCTTCTGAAGCCTGTTTCTGTCAATTCATCAGATTCATTCATCATCCATCTTCGATCCCTAGCTGGTGAGGAGTTGTGATCCCTGGGAGGAGGAGAGGCATTTTGGTTTTTGGTGTTTTCATCCTTTTTGTGCTGGTTTCTTCCCATCTTAGTGGCTTTATCTACCTGTGTTCTTTATCGCTGGTGACTTTCAGATGGGGTCTCTGAGTGGATGTCCTTTTTGTTGATGATGATGTTATTTCTTTCTGCTTCTTAGTTTTCCTTCTAACAGTCAGGCCCCTGTGCTGCAGGACCACTGGAGGTCCACTCCAGACCCCACTTGCCTGGGGATCATGCGTAGGGGCTGCAGAACAGTAAGGGTTGCCACCAGCTTCTTCCTCTGCTATCCTTGTCCCAGAAGGGTACCCACCAGATGTTGGCCTGAGCTCTCCTTCATGAGATGTCTCTTTGGGTATAGGGGGTCAGGGAGTTGCTTGAGGAGACAGTCTGTCCCTTATAGGAGCTCAAGTGCTGTGCTGGGAGCTCCGTTGTTCCAGGCAGAGCTGCTGGGCAGGTACTTTTAAGTCTATTGCAGCTGAACTCATAACCACCTCTTTTCCCAGGTGCTCTGTCCTAGGAAGGTCGGCTTTATTTATAAGTTCCTGATATGCTGCTGCCTTTTTTCATAGATGCCCTGCCCCACACAGAGTAGTCTAGTCACAGTCTGCCAGCAGAGGTCGTGCTGAGCTGCCGCAGGCTCTGCCCAGCTGCTGTGCGAACTGCCTCAGTATTGGTGGACTGCCTCGGTAATGGGGGATGCCCTTTCCCCCACTGAGCTGGACTGTCCTGGGTCCAGCTGTGCTTGCTGCAAAACTCTCAATTCAGAGCGTTTCAGATTGTTTTGTGGGGTAGTACCCACCAAGTCAGATCACCTGGCTCCCTGTCTCAGCCCCATCCTTTTCAGTTCAATGGGCACTCTGTCTCTCAGGCTAGTCAAAATGGCCGCCCAGACTTATGTGAGTTTCTGTGCGCTGACCTGGCTGAAAACTCAGTGCTGAAAACTCGTGGTGCTTTTTGGCCTGGGAATCTCCTGGTCTGTGGGCAGTGAAAACTTGTTTGGAAATGTGGTAAGCACTCACCCTCTGCACTGTTCTTGCTGGGAATTGCACTCTGGAGCTGTTCCTAATCGGCCATCTTGGATCCTCCTCCAAATATCTTTTCTTTATAAGTTACCCAGTCTCAGATATTTCTCTTTTTTTTGGTTTATTTTTTTTTTTTCAGGTATTTCTTTAAAGTAATGCGAGAATGGACTAATACATAGGGTTTCATTTTGTTGCCTCAGCTGGAGTGCAGTGGTGTGATCACAGCTCACTGCAGCTTCAATCTGCTGGTGTCAATGGATCTTTCCAGCTCAGCCTCCCAAGTAGCTGGGACTATAGGCACACACCACCATGTCCAGCTAATTTTTGCATTTTTTTAGAGATGAGGTTTCACCATGTTGCTCTGACTGGTCCCAAACTCCTGGGCTCAAATGATCTGCCTGCCTCAGCCTTCCAAAGTTTTGGGATTATAGGCATGAGGTACCATGCCTGGATGCATCAATGTTTTTATATTTACTAAGACTTGTTTTGTGGAAAGATAATTCGTTTTTAAAGGCAGTACAATAAAAGCATTTTTGTTTTTCTCAATGAGGTTTTTATTTATTTTATTTTTTTTAAGAGATGGCATCTTGCTCTGTTGCCCAGGCTGAGCTCAAACTTCTTTTTTTTTTTTNTAATTGGTAGCCAAATTAATTTTTTTCCTGTGGGCATTTATGAGCAAGGTGACTAGATTAAGTTTGCTGAGTCAAATAGAACATTGATATATTATACTTCAAATGAAGTAAAGGAACATAACATTTCAGAATTATAATATTTTAAATTTTAAAAATTGTGTAGTATTCAAATTGGTATCTAATTTTATAATTCACTGTACTTTTCAGCTATGAGTATGAAGCACATTACTTTGTCAAATATTACATGGCTAAATGCTAAAATTTCATTATCAGATGATCCACATACTTCAGATGCAATATTGGAAAAAAGGCTGTGAACTCAAACTTCTAAGTAATTCTCCTGCCTCAACTTCCTGAGTAGGTGCAACTACAGATGTGCACCATCACACGTGGCATGAATGAGGTTGTTAAACTTCAATAAAAAATTCTAGTTAAGAAACCCATTAGAAGACAAGAAAAAAAAAAGATAATGTCTTATTTGCTATATGGAGGCAAATAAGCACATTAAAATAAGTTCAAAATTATTAGCCATGAGGGAAATAAAAATTAAACTCACAATTAGATATCACTGTACATATATGAGAATATAAAAAATGAAGAAAAGCAACACTATCAGAGGCTGATAATGCAGAGAAAATGAATCACTCATTTATTCCTAGTTGGAATTTAAAATAGTATAGCCACTGTGGAATACAACTGGCAGTGTTTCACAAAACTAAGCATGGGTTATCATATAATCCAGCGACTGTACTCTTAGGAATTTGTCCTAGAGAAATGAAATCCTACTTTCACTCAAAAATCTGTAAACGAATATTCATAGAGTCTTTATTTATAATGGTCAAAAATTGAAAATAACCCAAATGTCCCTCAACAGGAGAGTTAACAAACTCTCTGGTGCCTTTATTCCATGGCATACTACTCAGCAATAAAAATGAATGGACATATGCAACAACTTGCATGAAGTGCAAGGAAATTATGCTGAATAAAAAAGAAATCTGAAAGGGGTGTGTATCATATGACTTTATCCATATAACATTCTCAAAATGACACAATTATAGAGATGCAGAATAGACAGTAGCTTCCAGAGATTAGGGATGGTGAGAAGAAATAGCATGAGGTAGCCTTGTGGTGATGGAAGAGTTGCTTATCTTGTCTCTGGTGATGGCTACATGAATCTACACATGTGGTTAGTGTAATAAAACTGCACACATGTACCTGAACATGCAAGTGAATGCATGTAAAACTGGTAAAATCTGAATACACTCTCACCAAATGTAAATTTTCTGGTTTTGAAGATGTTACCATTTAGGGAAACTGTTTAAAGGGGAGATTCTATGTTTTTGGTAACTTCTTTTAAATCTATAATTATTTCAAAATAGAAAGTTTTGAAAAGAAAACATTTACCTAAATTTCGAAGTAAGGTAATATATATCTTTTAACATTTATACTTTATCAAAACTCATTATCAAAAATCCTGGTTTACAAAGTTAGTATTTGCTTTAAAACATAGGATATATTGTTTATAGAACAACTTCATATATTTTATAAATATAGCACAACTGCTGCACTGAGGTTAACTGTGTTGCACTACTGCAGTAAGACACTATGCATCATTATTGTATGTAGGTCCATAAATACCTGCAAAAGCCATGCAGACATGGTCATCAAGTGCACAAATTTTCCTCACAGTTCTTTCATCTTGAAGCTTGGCAACAGATTTTTTTTCTACCCCAAGAACAACTATATTGGCACCTCGAATTCCAACCTGTCAAGTCATTAAAATACATACATATTCAGATGTCAGTTTTAAATATAAAACCAAGTTATTCTAACATATGACTTAGGGAAAATGACTTCTCCTTAAATACTCAATAAAAATGAGAAAAGTAAACTTCTAGAAAACAGCTTCATAGGCATAGGCTTACTGGAGATCCATTCCCCCAGACTCAAAGCAAAGAAGACAAATAGGTAGAAATTGCAAAGAAAATACCACCAATGCTGAAATTACAAGTGTCCTAATCTCATACAAAACACCTGAAAAAGCGCTATCTAAATACAGTAAGTCCTCACTTAACGTCATTGATAGGTTCTTGAAAATTGCAACTATAAGCAAATGATGTATAATGAAACCAATTTACCACAGCCTGATTGATATAAATAGGAGTTAGATTCATATGCAATATTTCTAGTCACAAAAACATCACGAAACTTCTAAAGACCTAAAACACTTCTAATATTAAACACTGGAATAAATGTGAGCTGTATAAACATTTAAGAAAGACTAATAAAAACAAACATGATAAGGCCGGGTGCAGTGGCTCACACCTGTACTCTCAGCAGTTTGGGAGGCTGAGGCGGGCAGATCATTTGAGGTCTGGAGTTTGAGACCAGCCTGGCCAACATGGTGAAACTCTGTCTCTACTAAAAATACAAAAATTAGCCGGGCATGGTGGCAGGCGCCTGTACTCTCAGCAACTCAGGAGGCTGAGGCAGGAGAATCACTTGAACCGAGGAGGCAGAGCTTGCAGTGAGCTGAGATTGTGCTACTGCACTCCAGGCTGGGGATAGGGGGAGACTCAAGGTAAAAAAAAAAAAAAAAAAAAAAAAAAAAAAAGTATGATAATTATTTAGCAAATTTTTGGTGAATCCATGAGTGACGGCAGTCATAGTGGTGATGGGTTAAATCCATGTGCGTAAGAAGAGTAAAGTGAGTATATGACTTTACCATGGATCCCATGATCCAAACTCCAGGTCTGCTCCTGTGGACCCAGATTCCAGGCCCACTCAAGTGAACCCTGGTGCAAGGCTGGCATCTGTGATACCAGGCCAGCCTGCCTGCTGGCCTAGGTATCAGGCCAGCCTGCCTGAGGACTCTAGTGGCAGGCCCACCCCAAATCTCTGGACTGGCCAACTGGTGAAGAACTTTTCCTGCTGAAGCTAACCTGAAGAGGTGCTTTCTTTTTGAAATATGCAGACATCCATGCCAGGCCACAAGAATCATGAACAATCAGAGAAATATGACACTACCAAAGGAACAAAAGAAAGTATGGAGATCTATGAATTTCTTGATAAAGAATTAAAAAATAACAATCTTTTAAAAGCTCAGTAAGCTATAAGAAGACACAGATAAACAAGCGAGATCAGAAAAACACTATGCAAACAAAGTGAGAAGTTCCGCAAAGAGACGGAAACCTATGTTAGTCTCTTTTATCTTAACATTTTAAAAGACCAATTCCACCTTAATCCCACCTTTTTTCTTTCAAGCTGTTCAAGCCAAATATTTATCATCATCCCTGAGCCCACAACAACCTGATTTCTCTCCCTCTTCTCTCAGGGTTTAGTCAAGGTAATTACACACGTCATTAAGATCCCTCAAGGTTCAGTTGTAGGCTATCTTCTACATAGTCTATAGTCTATATTTAGTCTTATTTTAACACAGAAGGGTACTCAAGAGTACTCATTTACTTGACCTCCAATATAGGTTTTAAACAGGGGAGAGAAAGAATGTGCTTCAACATTATTATTTCCAGCCGAGATCGATCTCTTAAATGTCAGGCATGTATTTTTCAGCTGCCTCACAGTCTCTGTTCAGGAATCTGGACACAGTTTAGCTAAGTCCTCTGGCTCAGGGTCTCTCATAAGGCTGCAATCAAGTTGTCCACCAGGGCTGCATGCACCTCTAGGATTAACGAGGGAAGGATCCATTTCCAAGCTCACTCATATGGTTGTTGGCAAGACTTAGTTCCTCCTGGGTTGTTGGACTAAGGACCTCAGTTCCCTACTAGGTTTTGAACAAATGTTTCCCTCAGTTCCCTGCCTCATTGGGTCCTCCAGAAGGCAACTCAACATAGCAGCTGGGTTCCACCAGAGTCAGTAAGCGAAACGGCAAGTAAGGCTAAATAAAATCAAGTCACTGTTTCTTTGCAACCTAATCCCCAATGTGACATTCGTCACTTTCATCTATTCCATGCCTTAAAAGCAAGTCACTAAGTTCAGCCCACATCCAAGGGAGGAAGGTTATACCAGGGCATGAGCACTAAAAGGGAGCACTGGAGGCCATTTCAAAGTTTGTCTACTACAGTTTCCATAAGCATCTCAACCTCAGTAAGTTCAAAACAGTTATCTTCCCCCAAAACTTAGTGCTTTGCATTCTCTAAGTAAATGGGAGTACCATTTACTTAGTGAGCACATCCAGAAACAGGGTCACCAAGTTATATTCCTCCTTCTCCAATACCTCTGTCAACACCATCCATATAATCATTGAATTGTGACACACATATTCCTTAATGTTTCTCTGGAATCTGCCTTATTTCCCCTTTTCCCCCAAGTCTAGTAAAAGCTAGTTATCATCTATCATCTAGATTATTTCCACAGAATCCTAACTGGTTTGCCTGTGTCTAGTCTTGATTTTATCCAATTCACTGACCACAGGTAGCCTGAGAAATCTGTGGAAAATAAAAAAAAAAAAAAAAAAAAGACCAAAAAAAAAAAAAAAAGAAGAAGAAGAAAATAAAGTCTGAATGTTGCATTCTTTTACTTAAAGCTTACATAGGTACCATTTGTCACTAAGCAACACAGCACAGAGTTAGATATAAAAGGATCTAGGGACTTTAATGTGTACTCTTTGCATATTGACTTGTTTTCCTAATGTGGAAAGGCTTTCTCTGTACAGTAAAACCATGACCACCAGGAACCTTGGACTCACATTCCAATAGTTCTAGAGAAGAAAAGTTACCACTGTCTCTAGTCGGAAGAGTTGTAAGGGTAAAGTTACCATTGGCTAGATTTGAGTGATATGCTCATCACCATGGCCAGGAAGATAGAAGCTACGAATGATTCTATCTAGGTCATGTGAGTAACTCTGGTTGGACAAATGCAGTCTGTTAATAGAAGGACAGAAGAGTAATAATGTGGAGAATAACAGTAGCCACATCAAAACACTTCAAGGCCCCTTATTCAGGACCAAGTGTATCTTCATTTACATGGTCTAAAGGCATTCCATGATCTGGCATCAGTTTCTAGCTTTATCTATTTTTATTTTTCCATTGTTTCAACAATTCTGAACACCTTTCAGTTCATAGAACATAGTGTCTTTTTCTGCTTGCCTTCCCGGAAGCTATTTCCTTTGTCAAAAATACTCTTCACTCTTTCCCCTGCCACTTTTTCCCTTGACAACCTCTCATCTTTCAGATACTCACTTAAATACTATTTCTTCAGGGGGACCTCCTCACCATCTGCGTTTCTTATAATGCCTCATACCCTAACACTCATTCAGGTTTTGTTAGGATTATTTATGTAATTATCTAACTTTCCTGATAGAGTGTAAGTTCTCTGAGGACAGGGACTGAATCTATCTTGTACATGATGCTATCTATCTTACATGTGACCCAGCATCACGTTTACCGTATGTAAGTATTCAACAAAAATGTCTTGAAATAATAAATGTGTGAGAAGCACCACAGACAAAATTGAAGAAAAAAGAGAAAACAAAGAATAGTAAATAATAATAGCTACAATTTATTAAGTACTTTTTGTGAACTAGATTCTGTGTAAGATGCTTAACATGCATTATTATCTTATCCAGCGCTCACATCAAACCTATGAAGCAAGTGTAATTTTGTTTTGTTTTGTTTTTGAGACAGATTCTGACTCTGTCACTCAGGCTGGAGTACAGTGGCATGATCTCGGCTCACTGCAACCTCTGTTTTCTGGGTTCAAGCAATTCTCTCACCTCAGTCTCCTGAGTAGCTGGGATTACAGGCACACACCATCATGCCCAGGGAATTTTTTGCATTTTTAGTAGAGACAGGGTTTCACCATGTTGGCCAGGCTGGTCTCGAACTCCTGACCTCCAGTGATCTGCTCGCCTCGGCTTCCCGAAGTGCTAGGATTACAGGCATGAATCACCATGCCCAGCTGCAAAGACTATTTTGATGCCTATTTACTGTTACAGAAACTGAAGCTTAGTGAAGTTAATTGCCTTAAATGATACATATCTGATTTCTACATTCATGATAATGGCAGCTAATTAATATACAAACATTTATTGAACAAATTTCAAGCTACAATGCAAGGAGCAGGGGCTTTGGAACTGGAGAAATTAATTATAAGTAGGAGTTCCATCACTCTCCACCTGGATATTTTCAGCAAGCTATATATGCTTGTGAATCACAGTTTCACATATAATAAAAGGGGATTAAACAATGTCCCTAATGTTAGATAATGTACACAAAATGCCTGGTGAAAGTATTACTTAAATGGTAATACTGCCTTCCTAGTCCCTCTACTGTATATTGTGTGGTAGAAATAAGGAAAGGAATTATGTCGTCTAGTTCTTCAGAGATTGTACTATCCAGTTGGTATGAGATTATTAAATACAACTGAAATTAAAGAAAATATCAGGCCAAATAGTAAATACTGTACAATATTATGTGGTACAGATTATACATTCAGAAAAGACAAAGATGCAAGATGACTTGAGCGGATCAGAGAAAACTTCATTATGGAGGACAAATGTGCAGAGATTCTTAAAGGATAAATAAGATGTGGAGCAGCAGAAAGAAAGGTGTTTTCCCCTTTCCTCTCTTCCCTTCTCTGTAGGCAGAAACATATATTAGTGAAACTAAGACACTGCCTCCTAAATTAAGAGGGTGGATAGGATTATGGAAGACTTTGATGGTTAGATTGTCGAGCTGAGATTTGATAAAGTAGGAAATACAGAGCTAATAACAGTCTGGGGTCACAGAAAGGACAAAATAAGGAATGATAATAAATCTTATCGTTTTCATGGGAATATTGTGAAGGATTCATTTCTTTTCCCTGAGAAGAAAGGTATTACTTCTCCAAAATGTTATTCAAACAAATTTGCATTTACAGAAAAGGGAACTAAAGCAAAAAGAAAACAAGCCTCTTGTCTCCTTTCATGGCGTAAAATAATCATCAACAAGGAAGTAGAACATAAAGCCTCTAATTTGTGGCCCATATAACTTTTATATTACTAAATAATATCACTTCTACATACTGGTCAAATCTGGTCAACCTTGGCTTATTTATAACTCATAATATCAATTTTCATTTCTAGATAGAATATTTTGTGACATATTTTAATAATCAAGTGCCATTAAAAAACTTTACCCTATGTAAAAGGTCATAGCACCCTCAAGGAAACACAATGAATAGCTCCATGCAAACATGCAAATTATAATTTCAGAATTCTGAGACAAAAGTGTCTCATTCTTCCAATGTATCTTTAAAAATGCCCACTATAGGTACTTTTATATCCTTACCCTTTTACCGCTCATTACAAAGGAACTATCAATCAGTTCTACAGCACTCTTAAAACATGTTAAATGAGCCAATGCGGTTTCTTATTACACCCCAGTCTTCTCCTATTACTCCCTTTATTTTAGGCTCTAAAACTTGGGCATTATTTTCTAACCATATGCTACATGTCATGCTGGGGCTTATATAACTTTTTGTTTTTATCAAAATGGTACCCTTTTGGTTTAAGCTACATCAGCCTTTCCTTAAATTTATAATTCTAAAAAAATTACTTGTAAAACAGAAGAGAAACTAGTGGGCCCAATTAAACAGAAAAATACTTTTAAAATGATTCTTCTAGCGTTTTTTTTTTTTTTTCCACTTACGTCTGTTAGATTTATAATGAAAGCGAATTATTTCCTTCTTTAACAAAGTTGGTATGGAAGTTAGAAAATATAGACACTGCTAAACTTGGAAATGTACTGTGTATCCTCATAGCTACTGTCTTAATTTCCAAAATAAACAACAAACATGCTCATGAAATTTGAAAGAATAAAAAAAAATCTGATCCTTTGAATTCATAGTCTAGGACTTAGAAGATTTGGGGTAACAGATCTCGGGTCACTAGGGCACTTTTGGCCTCTTTAATTTTTGTAAATCACTAAAATTATTGAATGTAGTTAAAACTTGGCAGAAGTTATTACTCCTACTCTGAGTATTTGTAACTTTTTCGGTAATGTGGATACATAAATCTAAAGTAGGGTATAATCTCTCAAGGAACTTTCAGCATTTTTTTTTTTAAGTAGTCAAAATAGTGAAAGTTCTTGGGCTTTTGGGCCTCTAAAAGACTGCGAAATATTGGGACAATTTTGGGATATTTCAAACGCGTGTGTTTTGAACTGTGTTTTTAATTATTTCTTCATCAACAAGAGTTTAATTTTATATTGATTTAGTCCGCATTTGGGGAGCAGGTGTGGCCAATTTTTATTTATTATCATAATTGTTATTAAAAAAATAGTTCCCCACATGAAGCAACTGTTAGCTTTTCAGGGGTCTCTGAACTACCAAGGAACTGGACAACAAGCATTCAGGTAAGCTGTTATAGATTCGAAGCTTTTTCTTTTTCTATTGCCAATCACAGCATTAACATCCCTACACATACACACCCTAGCTTTGGGCCTGTAGCTACTGTTAAACAGGGGCAGTGACACAGCAGAATTGAGGGAAATCTACCAACTTTTACTCTGCCACTTCAGGCCCAAATCTCAGAAGTCTATCTCCCTCAATAAAAAGGACAAAGTCATTTTCATAAGTGTGGGAATCTCTTCTCTTCAGCTCCTGGGCTGGAGGTGGGCTGGGCAGTGGGATAACGATGGCCCAAGAAGTAACGGGGCAGGGGGGTGGGGGGGATTGTCCGGGAGTTGCTCCCTCACCGCGGTGGATCCTTTCTTCACCGCTTCCTGGGCATATTCCACTTGAAAAAGGTGTCCGTCTGGGGAGAAGACAGTGATCGCCCTATCGTATCGAGAGGCCATCGCACAGGACTACAGGGCTTGCCACCGAGCTTCCCACTGCTGCGACACGGTGTGCTACCGGCCGGAAGTGCTAGCAGACGAGCTTCCAGCTGCCTCCCAGAAGTCCCCGCGCCCCGCGCTTCAGTTGCTTCCCAGAAGTCACTGCGCTGGCGCCTTTGGCTGCCTCAGGAAGTTCTCGTGCTTGCCAGCCTGTGTCACTCCAGCAGTGCCTGCAAGTTGACTGCATTCTTCCCCTACCCTTTCTGTCTTACGCATATATCCGTTTCTCTACTAAGGTGTTGTCCCAGAGGTGGTGTCACGGCACTCGGGTTATAAAAATAATATCAAAGATTAGGGTTTAAAGATAGGTCTTCAAAGATCAGATATTTTTGTTATCACATACATGTTGGAGAAACGGTTTCAGTTCCTTCCCTTTGGTTTCAAATTCTAAATTTCCTACTGTTTCTTTCTGTCAGTTAACTGTTGTTATTTGAACCCAAGGAAAAAAAGCACACTTTTCAAAATATTATTGCTTCTTATATTTTCTGCCTTGTGAGCAAAATAAAGCAGATGAGCGAATGGTCCAGTAAATAAAGCAAATAGTCTGTCAAACTAATGCTAATGACAAGAATTAAGATAATATTCTTTTAATTGAAGAAATTGTGTAAAAGCCCAAAGTATGCGACTTAAAAGATGTCTGGAAATTTAGCTATAGCCGAAACTCTACAGCTTGCTACATTACTGTGAAACAACTCTGTCACTTCTCCTTATCAATAAAATGGGAATATTAAAAAATCTGCAGCACAGTATTCTGAGCTTAAAATGTGTTTATGGGCATAATTACATAAACTGGTGCCTGGTGGGTAGTAATAGCCAGGTAAGTTTAGCTATTATTGCCTTCCATGTGTTGTTTAATATATGCAGTTTTCCCCTGGGGAGGATCTTAAAGTTGGTGAAATCAACCTTAACCAAAAAAAGAAAAAAAGAAAAAGTTTCTCAAAAGAGGAAAACTTCCCTGAATTCCAAATACTTAAATCAGAACTTCAGTTGACTTAAAAAATATTTTTAAATTATTAATACTTTATTTTTTTACATAGAGATGTGGTCTCCCTATGTTGCCCAGGCTGGTCTCAAACTCCTGGTCTCAAGCAATCCTCCTGCCTTGGCCTCCCAAAGTCCTGGGATTACAGGTGTGAGCCACCACACCTGGCCTTTAGTTGGCTCTTGAAGTAATTTGTACTTATTGCCTCGCCATTGCTTTTCTTCAGTATTACAGTCTTGATAAGTTTGGTTCTATTGCAAAAAACCAGTAAGTCCTAATGAAAACAATTCACTCTAACTGGTTACTTTACAATATTATGATAAACCAACATTTTTTTGAAGCTGTTTTTTGGAAAGTGTTTTGGTGTATTTGTTAAATTATGTTTCCTTTTTATTTTGAAATAGTTATGGATTGACAGGAAGTTTCAAATATAGTAAGAAGAGGGCTCCTATACCCTTCACCCTGTTTCCTCCAATGGTAATATTTTACATACAAATAATATGGTAACTGAACCAGGAAACTGACATTGGTGTAATATACAGAGTTTTTTCAGATTTTGCCAGTTTTATATACACACCTGTGTGTGTGTGGGGGGGGGTGAGGCCTTTGCAATTTATCATGTATAGATTCATATAATGACTATCATAATCAAGATACAAAGCTGTTTCACAACCACAAAGATCTGTGGTATTGACTTACAAGACATACCCATCTCTCTCTCCCTCCATCATCCCTAGCAATCACTAATCTGTTGTCTATCTCCATAATTTTGCCATTTAAAAAATTTACATAAATAGAAGCATACCTTATGTAAGTTTTTAGTGACCTTTTATCTTCTAAATAATTATAGACTCATAGGAAGTTGATCGAACGGTACAGAATGGCCCCTCATAACCTACACTTAGTTTCTGCAGTTTGTTACATATGATATAGTAAAATATCAAAACCAGGAAACTGACTTTGGTATACAACATGCTTATACCATTAAAAGGCATTTTGTAAATGTTACAGTGTATGATAGTATACATTTCAAAAATATGATAGTGTTAAAATGTTGACAATGTTTAACACATTCAGGTTTAAAATCCACACTAAAAATTAACAGCTGTGTACCTTTGGGTAGGAATATTTCACATCATTAAAACTTAGTTTTCTGTCCTGTAAAATAGTGATAATACTTATCTTCACAAGATTGTAGTGAAGAACAAATGAAATAATTCATTAATGTACCCATGGCTGTGCCTGACACAGAGTAACCACTTAAAAAATATTAGCTATTTTGCGGGGCGTGGTGGCTCACGCCTGTAATCCCAGCACTTTGGGAGGCCGAGGCGGGTGGATCACGAGGTCAAGAGATCAAGACCATCCTGGTCAACATGGTGAAACCCCGTCTCTACTAAAACTACAAAAAATTAGCTGGGCATGGTGGCGCGTGCCTGTAATCCCAGCTACTCAGGAGGCTGAGGCAGGAGAATTGCCTGAACCTAGGAGGCGGAGGTTGTGGTGAGCCGAGATCGCGCCATTGCACTCCAGCCTGGGTAACAAGAGTGAAACTCTGTCTCAAAAAAAAAAAAAAAAAAAAAAAAAAAAAAAAAAAAAAAAAAAATATATATATATATATATATATATATATATTAGCTATTGTTATTTATCACTGAGTTAACTAAAAAGTAAAGATTATTCTATAAGAGAGAAATTAGGATAGTTAGGTCTTCTTGTTGAATTGAACCATTTATCATTATGTAACGTCCTCCTTCATCTTGTTTAATCTTTAAAGTCTGTTTTGTCAGAAACTTGGATTGCAACCCCTGCTTTTTTCTTTTTCTTTTCTTTTCTTTTTTTTTCCTGTCATCATGATGCTAGCTAGTTATTTTGCGGACTTGTTCATGTGGTTGCTTCATGGTGTCACTGGTCTGTGTAATTCAGTATGTTTTAATAGTGGCTGGTAACAGTTTTTCCCTTCCCTATTTAGTCCTTCAGGGCCTCTTGTAAGGCAGGTCTGGTGGTAATGAATTCCTCAGCATTTGCTTGTCTAAAAAGAATCTTATTTCTCCTTTGCTTCTGAAGCTTAGTTCAGTTGGATATGAAATTCTGGGCTGGAATTTATTTCTTTCTTTTTTTGCAGGGGTGGGGGATAGGGTCTCACTCTGTTGCTCAGGCTGGAGTGCAGTGGCGCTGTCTTGGCTCACTGAAACCTCTGCCTCCCAGGTACAAGTGATTCTCCCACTTCAGCCTCTCAGTAGCTGGGGCTACAGGTATGTGCCACCATGCCTAGCTAATTTTTTTATTTTTTGGCAGAGACAGGTTTTCGTCATGTTGGCCAGGCTGGTCTTGAACTCCTAGCTGCAAGTTTTCTGCCCACCTCAGCTTCCCAAAGTGCTGGGATTACAGATGTGAGCCACTTCGCCTGGCCTGGGATTTCTTTTCTTTAAGAATGTTGGACTGGGCACAGTGGCTCACGCCTGTAATCCCAGCACTTTAGGAGGCTGAGGCAGGTGGATCACCTGAGGTCAGGAGTTCAAGACAAGCCTCATCAACATGGTGAAACCCTGTCTTTATTAAAAATACAAAAAAATTAGCCAGGCATGGTGGTGGGTGCCTGTAATCCCAGCTACTGGGAGGCCAAGGCAGGAGAAGCACTTGAACCCAGGAACTCATAGGTTGCAGTGAGCTGAGACCACACCATTGCACTCCAACCTAGGCAACAAGAATAAAATTTGGTCTAAAAAAAAAAAATGTTGAATATTGGCCCCCAATCTCTTCTGGCTTGTAGGATTTGTGCTAAGAGAGGTACACTGTTAGTCTGATGGGCTTCACTTTTTAGGTGACCCAGCCTTTCTCTCTGGCTGCCCTTAACATTTTTTCTTTCATTTTGACCTTGGAGAATCTGATGATTGTGTGTCTTGGGGATGATCTTCTCGTGGAATATCTTACTGGGATTTACTGAATTTGAATTTTGGCCTGTCTAGCTAGGTTGGGGAAATTCTCCTGGATGATATCACGAAATAGGTTTTCCATATTGGTTCCATTTTTCCCTACTCTTTCAGGTACCCCAATCAGTTGTAGATTTGGTCTCTTTACAAGATCCCATATTTCTTGGAGGTTTTGTTCATTGCTTTTTGTTATTTTTTCTCTATTCTTGTCTGCCTGTCTTATTCCAGAAAGACTGTCTTCATGCTCTGAGATTCTTTTCTTCACTTGGTCTGTTTTGCTACTAATACTTGTGATTGCATTGTGGTTTTCAGCTTGTAGTGTATTTTTCAGCTCTATCAGGTTAATTATGTTCCTCTCTATTCTGGCTCTTTTGGCTGTTAGCTCTTGCATTATTTTATCATGATTCTTGGCTTCCTTGCCTTGGGTTCCAATGAGCTCCTTTAGCTCACTGAAGTTCATTTTTATCCACATTCTGAAGCCTGTTTCTATCATTTCAGCCATCTCTGCATCAGCCGGGTTCAGAACCCTTGGTGAAGAGGTGTTGTGGTCATTTGGATGAGAGTGGGCACTCTGGTTTTTGAGTTTTAAGTGTTTTTGCGCTGATTTTTTCCCATCTTTGTGGGCTTATTGACCTCTGATCCTTGAGCTTGTTGACTTTTGGATGCGGTTTCTGTTTTTTTGTTATGGTTGTTGTTGTTCTTGTTTTTATTGTTTGTTTATTTTTCTTTTAAAAGTCCAGCCCCTCTTCTGTAGGGCTGCTACAGTTTACTGGGGGTCCACTCTAGACCCTAGTCACCTTGGTTTTTCCAGTACCTGGAGGTATCACCAGTGAAGGCTCTGAAACCATTGAGGTAGCAGCCTACCCCTTTCTCTGGAAGCTCCATTGTAGAGCGGGGTACTGACCTGCTGCCCACCCAAAGGCACCTTCAGGATGTGGCTGGAGACCCTGGTTGGGAGGTCTCACCCAGTCAGGAGGAATGGGATCAAGGATCCGCTTAAAAAAGCAGTCTGGCTGCATTGTGGTAGCACAGCTGTGCTGTGTTGGGGGATCCCCTCAGCCCCTGATCAGTTTGGGCTCTCTAAGCCTG